TACTACGAAAAATAAATTTGTTAGGAAAACATAAGAAAAAAGAAAAAAAAAAGAAAAAAGAAAGAAGAAGATCAAAAAGTCAAATCAAAATAAATCCAATAAATTTGGCATACTTCACATTGATAGAAGAAGAAAAAAAAAAAAAAAAAGAAAAAAAATCACGATGAAATGGGAAATGACGAATAGAAGACGATCGAAAATAAATTTATGAAGCATTTCGTTTAATCGCCATTTTTTTTTCATAGTTAGAATGAAAAGATAGAAGGCATTTTGCTGGATAAAGAAACAATGTTTGAGTGAGAAATAGGGAGAGAGAGAGAGAGAGAGAGAGAGAGAGAGAGAGAGAGAGAGAGAGAGAGAGAAAGACCGAGATAGAAATAGAGAGATAGAGAGATAGATGGAAGAAGAGGGGGAGGGGGAGAGGAATAAAGTCGTCGAGGGAGGTTCGACGAGAAGCTTGCGGCAGTAGTCGACGAACGATGAGCGCTTTTCGAGCGTCGTTCGTTTGAATGTTTTACAACGTGTCGCGGACGTTCCAACTGGACGCCCTTACATCTTTTATCAACGAGCGGATCTTTTTCTCCCTCTCTACTTTCGCGTACTTCCCTTCTCTCGTAATACCGGCGCGCCTTCTTTTCACCCCCCTTCTTGTCTTGTTTCACCCCCTTGAGAAAGATGGAAGAAAGAAAGAGGAAAAGAAAGGAAAAAGAAAAGAAAGGAAAAAGAAAAAAAAACAAGACAAAAAAGAAAGAAAAAGAAAAAAGAAAAATTAAGAAAGAAAGAAAGAAATGAAAGGGAAGAGAAAAGTCGACTATGAAACGAAGGATTTTCCATCGAGAGTAACTATACTATGTCTGAAGAGATATCGATTGAGTAGAAAGTAAAGAGAGAGAGAGAGAGAGAGAGAGTAAGAGAGAGAGAGAGTAAGAGGGGGAGAGAATTGAGTATCAAGGTCGTGGCCTTGAATAAGGAATACTTCCATCACCATGACGAAATACTCTAATCTCTTCTAAAGTACGATCATTTCCTGGTATAATCGATCGTTAGAAAAAAGGAGACCAGAGATTCTAGTGATCGGGTAAATTTCGTGATACGTTTTCTGCCTTAAGAACTATTCTTGGAGATGGTCGGAAGGAAACTACGATGGTAGCAGGTAATAACAGTAGCGGGCAATAGGATCGCCGGCATCGAGGAAGAGGAAGAGGAAGAGGAAGAGGAGAAGGAGAAGGAGGAGGAGAAAGAGGAAAAAGAAATAGAAGGAGTAAAAGAAGTAGAAAAAGTAGGAGAGAGAGAGAGAGAGAGAGAGAAGGAATCACGCATTTAGGAATGGGTGAAACGAGACGTGGTTCGTTCGAAAGATTAAAAAGAAAGAGATAGAGATAAAGAGAGAGAGAGAGAGAGAGAGAGAGAGAGAAAAGGAGAAGAAAAGTAAAAAAGAGAGAGAAATAGACATAAAGAGAACCATAGACTAGAATGTTATTCGAGAGGGGAAGTTCCAAGTATAGACGAAGAAACTAAATGCTCGAACGCCTCTATGTGGTCTCTTTTACCCCAAGGGAGATTATATTCCAAGTATTGCCATTATGCGAGGAGTTTCCTAGGAAGGCAATTTTCGAAATATTTAAAATACATACCATTACCACACGGCTAAGCTATCCCTTATTATAAAATAGTCTATCCGAAGGGTGACCACGTAATACGAAAATTTCGCGCATAAACATATACACACGCATACACAAATGCGTATACGCAGAAACAAAAAAGGAAAGAAATTTCACAGGATTCCCTCATCCTCTCTCTCTCTCTCTTTCTCGCTCTCCCCCCCCCTCACTCATCTCCCTTGCCCGCCCGTAGTTTTGCTTTTTCTAAATTTGACCACAATGTAGAGGGGACACCTAACTAATAATTTCTTCCTAGAGTCTTCGCAACGTCTTGTTTCGATTCGACGTCAAGAAAAAAAAACAAAAGACAAAAAAAAAAAAAAAAAAAAAGAAGAAGATAAAAATAACGCACCAAAAAGGAGAGAGAGAGAAAGAGAGAGAGAGAGAGAGAGAGAGAGAAATAAACTAAACTCTACCTGATACTGCCTAAGGGAGCGGGACTCAAACGAAAAAAGACAGAAGGATGACTATGAGAGAGACGAAAAAGGAAAAAGAAGAAGAGGATCTCGAAGAGAGATTGAAGAACACAGGATGGAATACGATCGTTGAAGCCGCGAATCGCGTGTCCTGGCTCCTTTCCTTATGTACGTAAGTATGAACCTCGCGTGCGACACGGCTTTACTAGTTACTCCCACAAAAATGAAAGAGAGAAAAAGAAAAAGAAAAAGACAGAGAGAGAGAGAGAGAGAGAGAGAGAGAGAGAGAGAGAGAAAGAGAGAGACAGTGAGACAGAAAGATAAAGGGGGAAGGAAAGAGAAAGAGAGAGAGAGAGAGAGAGAGAGAAAGAGAGAGAGAGGAAAAGGACAGAGAAAGGAAAAGTAAAGAGAAAAAAGAAAGAA